GAAAGAAGGACTGGGAGCGGTCTACACCTGCGAATAGAGAGGCCGAGGAAGGTCCTCACCGGGCTTGATCAAGGTCTCTGAATGGCAACCCGAGTGGGAAACAAGCCCGGCATGGCTTCCTGGAACCGGGGCTCGGAAACCCACATAGGCTTCTCGTCGGTCTTCTACTGTGACGGACCAAGTGTGCAATCCATAGTAGGATGCAATAGAGTGGACCAACCAGCGACTGGGAAGTGTCAGCGGACTGGACAGTTTCGTGGTGGGGAAAATGCGCAAAACGTACCCGAACCCAGCAGCACGATCATTAGCCAAAGTCTCAAGCACCATCTTCTCACCATCCCGCTCGCTGTGAGAGCTGATCTCCTCTCGGAGTAGGCGGAGTCTCTCCTTTCGCTCGGGAGAGTCGTGCATCTGCCCATTCCGACCGACAAAGACAATCTCATCTTCCGAGTCGTCACTAGGAGCATCCTGCAATCCCTCTTTCTCAAGCAGAAGCTCCCTCTCGTTCCACTTCTGAATAAAAGTACGGACCTCTTCTTCCAGATCTCGGAGCATGCCATGCGCTGCGCGCGCATGCTTCAGCTTTGACCTCAGCTCTTTCGGGATGTGATGCTTCTCGTTAGCTCTCTCAGCAGCCTTCACGGCCGACTGGTGATCCGCCACACGGGAATAGTGAACATCCCACAGGGGCGCAAGATAATAAGGCATCGGGTCATGCCGAGTATAGGTAGGTTGGATATCCCAGTCCTTGGATGACGGCGGTTCCGCCCAGGGATTGTGCAACAGACGATCTTGGTGTCTGGTCAGCATTCGCCTACCAAACCCGCGCCAAAAGCAAAAAAAAAGGTACAAGCCGCGACCAATCTAGTGCATATACGTACCATTCTCCCAGCGCTGTCTCCGACGGCTACCATCTTTGCCCTTGAGCAGAGCCTCCCGGGTCTTGAGGCCATCCCGGCGTAGAGGCTCCCGACGTCGGAAGCTGACTGTCGGGGGGCGGGACTCGACTTTGACTCGTTGAGATGGGATCGCTTCGTCGTCGAGAGGGATCGACAGCGAAACGGCGGACCCACGCAGACCCGAGCGCATCGGGGTCGGTGTGGACGGTGGACTCGCTGCGGGGGCTGAGTCCGTCAGGGACATGTTCTGCAGGGAAGCTGCTGCATGTTGCTCTGTCCATGCGGAGATGGCTAGGGCCTGTTGCGGCGATAGGTGCCCTTGCGAACCCTCTGGGCGCAAGCGTGGATGGATAGCCATAATGTATGCAATGCGATCAAATGAAGGCAACAGTTCTAGGGCGAAGGAGGGATAAGGATAGGATAAGAATGGGCAAGATAAGAGACCTGGGAGAGATGATACGCAAGGTTGTCTGCACGGGACAACTCGCTGGACGCTGATTGGTGAGAGAGTGGGTACCTGATAGCCCTAGCCCTGGTTTCCTATTTTAGAAAGATAACTAGAAACTGTCCTCGGGGGCCCTCGGAAAGGTGGATCACATATCGAGGCTGTATACACTAGCTCAAGGCTGTATACGGAGTAGTTAGGCAGCCTTGTAATGATTTTCACCTACAACAGTTGTACTCCGTCGAGATATATCCTTATCTCCGCAGGGCTGTGAGTCATGGCGCAGTCATAGTGGAGTTTTTCTTCTCTTCATTCTCCATTCTCCACCTTCGATCCCCAGACTTGAATGCCTACTGCTTTGGTTAACCAGTACCTTGGATATTTTAAGTAAAGTAGAATATCAAATGGATGATTTTGTGAATGTCAACCGGAGTCCGTATTCAGAGTTTTCCAGGACCGGATATACCGGAAGTCCGTATACTACATATGTATAGTACGGAGTATAGTACGGAGTATGTAATATGTGATACAGAGCCTCGGTGTTTTAGCGCGCGGGGTCCAAAAATGGCTTGGCACAGGGCGCGTGCCCAATACCTCTCCAGAGCTTTTAAAAAGGAAAACCATCCCTTCTGCTTATTCCGTTTATTCCGTTTATTCTTCTTATCCTTATTTTCATCCATTATGAAGTTCCTCACTCTTGCGCCTCTGGCGCTGAGCGCAACGGCAACGGCCATGGTCATAGTCAACCCAGAGCAACAACCTCTAGCTCCTTCAATTGTTCAAAATCCTCTGTCCAAGTCTCTAATCGAGCTGGCCCCATACCAGACTCGATGGGTAACCGAGGAAGAAAAATGGTCGCTCAAGCTGGTAAGCCAAGTTTTGATTCGAATGTAATTATGACATAGTACTAACGATCAACCAGGACGGAGTGAACTTCATCGATGTCACCGATGAATACCAATCAGGCTCCTACGGAACCCTTCACACCACACGAGTTGTCCACTACCCAGAGGTGATGGAGCACTCGCATGAGATTCTGCCATTGTCCAAAACCCTCGACAAGAGTAACATGAGAAGCAACCTGGAACACTTCACATCCTTCCACACGCGCTACTACAAGTCGCAAACGGGAATCGAGTCGGCAACTTGGCTATTCGACCAAGTGACTGCCGCAGTGCAAGAGTCTGGCGCCAGCGACCACGGCGCAACCGTCAAGCGCTTCGATCACCCCTGGGGTCAGTTCAGTATTATCGCCCGCATTCCCGGTCAGACGGATAACACCGTCGTCCTCGGTTCCCACCAGGATAGCATCAACCTGTTCCTGCCTTCCATTCTGGCTGCACCCGGCGCCGATGACGATGGTAGTGGAACAGTTACTATTCTCGAAGCTCTTCGCGCCCTGCTGCGGTCGGAGACTATCGCACACGGAAAGGCCCGCAACACCATCGAGTTCCACTGGTACTCTGCTGAGGAAGGTGGCTTGCTCGGATCGCAGGCTGTCTATGCCAATTACAAGAAGAATCAGCGGAACGTCAAGGCCATGCTCCAGCAGGACATGACTGGATATGTCCAGGGTACTCTGGATGCCGGCCAGAAGGAGTCTGTGGGTGTTATCATCGACTACGTCGATCCGGGCCTTACTTCATTCATCAAGGAGGTTATCACTACCTACTGCGATGTGCCTTATGTCGAGACAAAGTGTGGCTATGCATGCTCTGATCATGCCTCTGCTAGTCGGTACGGATACCCCTCGGCATTTGTCATCGAGTCTCAGTTTGAGAACTCTGATAAGAGGATTCACACTACCGAGGACAAGATCGAGTATTTGAGCTTCGATCACATGCTGCAGCATGCGAAGATGAGCTTGGCTTTTGCTTACGAGCTAGCTTTTGCTCCCTTCTGATTTTGTCACACTGGTTTACATGACGGTTCGGCGTTTTAAGTGATATACCTCTAAGCTGGGTTCCCTCGTTAAGAGTACATTGAGGATCAACCTGAAGCAGTTTTTGTTTTTTCGGTCTTGGGGCTACTACCCTACATACTCTCAATTGAATGATTATAATTTGTTAAACTTTCTATCCTAGTAATTTAGAATCGTGATATTTACCTCGTTGACATGCACAATATAGTCGTAACCGCCCATACTAGACAGCAACCTGGGCATCTCATGCTCTGTGATCAGCGGCATGTGTATCGTAGTTGAAATACCGGGTACGCACTAGAATTAGTACAGCCACAAAGGAAGCTTAGTTCTCTCTTTTTTTCCTAAGCTTCTTCTTCTACTACTTTGTTCTTCTTCTACTTTATGATCACAAATTGGGAAATAGCACGCGATTCCTGATGATTGCGCGAATGTTCTAGTGACGGCTCTCCATCCGATATTTCTCCATCGGGCGATGCAGCCGACTGTTCCCCTCGTGCGGGCAGATCAGCACCGGGACTTTTCCCCTCATTGGGACAAAGCACGCGGGATCCTCGACATATACCGGGAGTGCGTCCGAGCTGTAGTACTCTGGTACTATGAGAATGTATATTAGTTGACCGATACCTCGTTCCTAAATATGTCCCAATTCTATCTTTATCTATCAAAGAAATATAGCAACAGTGAGTTACTCCTGGTAACCTCCATAGCAAAATGTTCAGAGTCGCTAATACTGGAATTCATTATGGAAGTGTCTAGCAACATTGTTCCCCTTACCGTCATTAAAGGCGCCGGCCACGAGTTCATCCCTCTCCCCAAGGGCGAGAACGCAACCACTGCCGATTTCCATTCTATCCGCACCAAGACTGAATCTCCTGCACACTTCACTTCGGGATTCTATAAGATTGAGGCAGGGCCTGAAAGACCCGCGAGCTACACTTTTGAGGAGACGAAGTATGTCCTCAATGGTCAGATCGATATTTTGGTATGTCCCCTTTTATATATATTGAAGGCTACTTCTTCAATCTTTTATTTATACTAACAATCGTGGTTCTTAATAGGATGAGGCTACTGGGATCATCCACCATCTAGTTCCGGGAGACTTTGCTTTTTTCCATGTTGGATCTAAGGTTAAGGTTTGTCATGACCCTCCCATATCTCGTACGGGAGATATTAGCTAAAGCAGGTCTAATTTCCCCCGATCTAGTTCTCAACCAAGTCACAAGGACTTGCCTTCTACGCCGTTACTCGACCCATTCGAAATCCCCACCCTAACCTTGTAGGTCGGGAGGAAGACAAGGCTAGATTGTAAGGACCTTGGGGAGTCGATCTATGAAAATATACTCATAAGCTTAATATAGATGACCTCTCAACTAAAGCCCCATGCACTAGATTTGAACATGACATGGTGGTGGTGAGATTATGAGAAAAGTACCTATGTATATTGTGGGTATGGAGTACATAGAGTGAAAAGAGAGGATTTATCATACAACATATGATTTTGTGCCTTGCCGATCCACCTGGCCCAGTATAGGGCTAGATCCAAGATATGACGTAGCCATACTCACCGGTGTTTCGCACGTGATGCCCCTCTATCCTGTCCAAAAAAATAAACTCACCGTTTTCATACTTGTCGTTTCCAATTGTCATTTCTACATCCGGCCAAGCAAATCTCCCTCCTTGGGATCAACCATTTCAACACCCTCTCCATAAACCACCCCTCAAACAGCCCACCATGACCGCCTCAACCCCTTACGCCAAAGAACTCCAGCTTGCCAGCCTAGCCGTACAACGAGCAGCCATCCTAACAAAAGAGCTACTCTCTGCCGTTGACAAAGGCGCCCTTGACAAGAGCGACGCCTCTCCCGTAACAATTGCCGACTTCGCCGCCCAAGCCTCAATAATTGCAGCCATCCATAACGTCTTCCCCGACGACGACATCGTCGGCGAAGAAGACGCTACAGCCCTCCGCTCAAACCCAGACCTCCTCGCAAGAACCTGGGACCTAGCAACCAGCATCCACCTCAATGACCCAGAAAGCGAAGCCCTTCTCCACACCCCAAGTACCACCTCCGAACTTCTCGACCTCATCGACCTCGGCGCAAAAGGCGCCTGTACCCCCACTAGCAGGACCTGGACTCTAGATCCCGTAGATGGAACAGCAACCTTCATCCGTGGCGAGCAGTACGCGGTCTGTCTCTCGCTAGTCGAAAACGGAGTCCAGAAAGTCGGCGTCCTCGGCTGTCCCAACCTTTTGGAGTCAGGACCCGTCGCTGAACAGCGCGTCGACCGCGACGGTCTCGGCCAGATGATCTCAGCCGTTGCCGGACAGGGCGCTACCATCAGACCTATGGGTCTGGGAGCTTTGCTGCCGGGGCGCCCGCTTGAAATTGTCCCGCAGGTTGGGGCTTCCGACGTGCGGTTCATTGATACGCGTGCGGCGAAGACGCAGGATCTTGAGGCTCATGCACGTGTGGCGGCGGATCTTGGTTGTCCGTGGCCGAATCCGGTGGATTTGTGGTCGGCGCAGATGCGTTATGTTGCTATTGCCGTGCAGGGGGGGTGTAATGCTTTCGTGAAGGTGCCGCTGAGTCCGGAGTATCGCTCGAAGATCTGGGATCATGCGGGTGGTATGCTTATTGTGCAGGAATTGGGCTGTCTTGTTACCGACCTTGAGGGGAAACCGGTTGATTGTTCGCTGGGTCGTACTTTGGCTGGGTGTCATGGTATGGTTGTTGGGCCGGCTTCGGTTCATGGGAGGATTTTGGAGGCTGTGAAGGAGGCGCGGGGATTGTGATTTTTTTTCCCGACTGCTTTTATATATGTTTGCTTTTTTTTACATCTTGTTCTTTTGCATATTGGTTTTGATACCCTAGATAATCATATCATTGGCATGGTTACTATTGATATTAGTATACTACATACATTCATGTGGATAATGTAGACGCTTCTACCGACCTGAGGCGTGAGCACTGGCCCCTTTCCCCGCGTTACCCTGATTCTCAAGTAAGAAATGCTGGCTGTGAAACATACTGTGTGCTTACACCTTCAGTAGAAAGGTACTTTGTGCCTGTGTTTCATACTAGTATTTCCAAGGTTATTTTTAGGCTCAAATTGTCTTCCGGCGCCAAACTAGGCTCAAATGCGGGTCTCATTTTCCCTGATTTCCGTCTTCCCAGGTCCTACGCTCAGCAGTAATGTCTCGAGTATTTTTGAGTTCTTAGTTTGTCCACTACTAATACATTTCCATATACATCGATTTCAGGTTGATCTTTGTATCGAATAGGACAGTGCACGATGATCTACAAATTGCGCCAGATTATAGTTTGTTCTCACTGGAGTAGACTGGGATGGCGCCTAGTCTATGTTTCACGAGAAACAGTAATTCTGGTAGAACAGGAAAGATGTGAATACTATTTGACTATAATTAATGATGATTTCTTCACATTTTAAGATAATCAAGTACAGGTGTAGTTGGAAGTAACCCTAAGTATATACGATAAAAAGCGTTGATGTCATCACCATCAAATTGACCTCACATCATTTCCCACTTCCCGGTTCTTCCTGCGATGGTCTGATTTGATTGGATTGAAATGGGATTGAAATTGGATGGTCTGATGACCTTATGCGGGGAATTCCTTCTTTAATACTTTGGTTATAACCTTGGACTCCCCTCTTCTAAACTTTCGGTTCCTTTTTTAATTATACTCAGCTTGAGCTTGGGTACTACATCCATCATGGCATTATTTAACCCGTTCGCTAGACGCGAAACTCACAGCGCTAGCTCGCTGAATACCTACCGAGTCCTTGTACCCCTCACATGGGCTCTGGTCGTGGTGGTCGGCATCTACCACTCTGTTCACTCGCCCGATGACACCAAGAAGGGCAAGAAGATTTGGAAGCAGGCTGATAAGCATAATACTCCATTCAGCCAGAACACTACGGTGACTGGCGCTTTCTGGTTAGTTAGCCTAAGTAGCACACCCGTGCCTATATTGGAAATGATCATGCTTTGAACATCCACAACCTAACTTCCATCCAGGATCGTCCTCCTCCTCTCTCAGCTCAGCTATGTCTGGCACCTCTTTTCCAAGAACGATGTTCTCGTCACAGCTGCGGCCAATGTAGCCACCCACTTCATTCTGAACAACCTCTTCCTCACTGCTTGGATCCTCCTGTGGACCCGCAATCACTTCTGGGGCGCAGAGATCATCCTCATCGCTCACTTGATCAATCAGACAGTCACCTACTGGCGCCACCGCGGCCTGCCGGCCTTTGTGCATTTACCTGCCGTTGCCGGCCCCTATGCCTGGACACTGACGGCGCTGTTCTGGAACGGCGCGGTCGCTGTCCACAGCCACAACTTGCCTGGCCGTATTGTTGCTAATATCTTTATCTGGGTTATTCTCGCTATTGGACTGTTTGATATTGTCCTCTGGGAGGATTATATCCTTGGATATTGTTTGAGTTGGTTGACATTGTGTAAGTCTTGCCTTTTTTTAGATCACAGCTTCGAGTGGTCCGCTAATATATATACTTCTAGCAATCGCCCTCAGACAAATCGCTATCAAGATCATTGCCCTGCAGTGGATCTTTGCCTTTACTGTCTTTGCCGTATTCTTGGTCGTCTCCCTTTACATCTCCACGGCCAAGTACACTGGCCGCGACAGCCTCTTCCGTCGCGTTGCCCACCCCGAGTCGGTGGACCGGGAGAGAGAGCCACTGCTCAACGAGGGGGTGTGAGTGTGTCGTCATGCCATCATTAAGGACCCACTGCCATGATAAGCCTAACTAGTTGGTCGTTGGGGCTTACTCTTAAGATCGGACGGGACGCCGGAGAACGAGCACGGTGAGAGTATGGAGGTTGGAGAGATCTGGAAGACCAGTCTTATTTTGGCCGAATTATGCACTCTTTTGTGATACCACCTGGAATAATGCAGTTTTTTTTTGTTTAAGTGGCGCACTAATGTGAAAATGCATCGACCCACTTGGGACTGGGGAAGGTCGTATGTATTGAAGACATGTTGAATAGTTTGACAATTTGATATTGACCAAAAGAATAAAATTGGGAGATCCACGAATAATCACGTATACCATTCTATTTTAATAATTGTTTGATTATTGTTTCCATGGCTTTCCCCCGTGCTGATGCGGACGGAGATCCGAGTCCAGCGTTGCCCTGACAACCGCCTGCACCTCCACCTTTGTTGATGCAAAGCGGCGGATATGAACGGGCTGGACGTGTTTGCCTAGTCGATCCTTTTTACTCTTTTTATTGTCTCTTTCTCTTCATCTTGCTTGTGTGTCGAGCTTTGATATTGATATTGTACTCGCATTCCGCCGTTCCTCAAACCTCAACTATTCTCGAATCAGACAGGCCCACTCTGACTTATCGAGAGACGGGGATTGATTCTGGTCGTTGTCTCATTGATACCCACTTCAGGTACCATACTATGAGGCAGTGAGTTCAAAAAAAAAGACACCCACATTCCACGTTCTATCATGAATCGTCATCCGCCATCCAATTACGGCGACGCGCCGCCAGCATACCTCAACCACGACACGGGTTCCTATCTGTCTGATCCCGAGTCTCCAACTAATGCCTCACGTCTTAATGGAGGAACGATGCGCTTGTTGCCAAGTGGCGATGGCGCTGATGACTTAGCTAGTAGCCATAGGGCTCCTTCGCCTTCCCATTATGACCCTGATTATAATCACACTCCGTATGTATATCCCAGCTGCCTCTGATACAATCTTGCCCGTTTTCACATTCCAATGGTTTCCCTCGCGACGGAACCATGTGCACCACCAAGGCCAACTCCTTCATTGACATGATGGAGAGGCTAGGAGAAAGCTTGTGCCTTAGGCAATTGCCCGTCAGTGGGCATTGCTACTGGGCTCGAGCCAACTCCTTCCTGCTGTTTGGTCGATCCTCCTTCCCTTGAACATTAAACATTTTGTACTCCAGTACATTGTTTACCGTTTCATCCCCCACTCCACCTCCAAATTGGCCCTCTTCCTGCCAGCTTCGAGCCAAAATGGAACGTCTTCCAAGACCAAGGTCTAACATCAGAGGGCGATACTCTAGGACCGGACAAGACCAACGTTATGACAATTATTACGAGGTGCCCAGCCTCTCTTCGCCTTCGCGTCCACCATCCAGCTTGGCCAGCGGACCCGGTATTCCGCCTTTGACAGCAAGCCTTGCAGACACTTCCGTCTACCCTTCTATCCCCCCGCGCACAGGATCTCCGATTCGTCCATGGAGTCCGTCACACATCCGACCACCGTCCGTGTCAAGTGTGGGATATGAACGTGCCGACCTGAACGGTAGCCCGCGGCCCGGTACACCCAGCTCAAGATATGGGGGCAGCCCTCGTCGACCATTGCCTCCTGCGCCTTTGTTCTCTGGGCCAAAATCAACAGTAGATACAAGCATTGACATTGGTGATGCCCATAGCGATGATCCATTCGGCGGTGACGGCCGTACAATCCACCACACTTCGCGCGGCAGCGTCCGATCGTTCATGAGCGAATCGACAATGTTGGGAGATGAGAAGGATGGTATGTCAAAAGTCGACCTCGACGATGAAGATGACGACGAATCTCACGTTCTGGATCCCAACCTTCACTATGGCCCAGCGCCGGACAAGCAGGGGCGTCGCGGTGTCCGATCCAAGCAGGTCGCCAAAAAGGAAGTTCAGCTGGTCAACGGCGAGCTTATTTTAGAGTGCAAAATTCCTACTATTCTTCACAGTTTCCTGCCTCGCCGTGACGAACGCGAATTCACACACATGCGATATACCGCTGTCACATCCGATCCGGACGATTACGGTGAACGGGGATATAAGCTTCGCCAGCAGATTGGTAGCACCACTCGTGAGACTGAGCTGTTTATTTGTATTACCATGTACAATGAAGACGAGATTGGTTTCACCCGTACCATGCACGGTGTCATGCGGAATATCAGCCACTTCTGCTCGCGAACCAAGTCGCGTACTTGGGGCCGTGATGGATGGAAGAAGATCGTCGTTTGCATCGTCGCTGATGGACGTAAGAAGGTCCACCCGCGTACGCTCAATGCATTGGCCGCACTCGGTGTTTACCAGGAGGGTATTGCGAAGAATATTGTCAACCAGAAGGAAGTTCAGGCACACGTGTACGAGTACACTACGCAGGTCTCCCTCGATGACGATCTTAAGTTCAAGGGTGCTGAGAAGGGAATAGTCCCGTGTCAGGTTATCTTCTGTTTGAAGGAACACAACAAGAAGAAGCTGAACTCTCACCGATGGTTCTTCAATGCCTTCGGTCGTGCCCTTCAGCCCAACATTTGTATTTTGCTTGATGTTGGAACTCGACCAGAGCCGATGGCGCTCTACCACTTGTGGAAGGCATTCGACCAGGACTCCAATGTTGCCGGCGCTGCTGGTGAGATCAAGGCTGCTAAGGGTAAGAACATGCTCGGTCTGCTCAATCCTCTCGTGGCAAGTCAGAACTTCGAATACAAAATGTCCAACATTCTCGACAAGCCTCTGGAATCGGTCTTTGGTTACATTACTGTGTTGCCTGGTGCGCTCAGTGCTTATCGATTCTTCGCCCTGCAAAATGACGCCGATGGCCACGGGCCGCTCAACCAATATTTCAAGGGTGAAACACTCCACGGTCAAGATGCAGATGTCTTCACAGCCAACATGTACCTGGCTGAAGATCGTATTCTTTGCTGGGAGTTGGTTGCCAAGCGGGAAGAGAGATGGGTGTTGAAGTTCGTGAAGAACGCCGTTGGAGAGACTGATGTGCCGGACACGGTTCCTGAGTTCATCTCCCAGCGCCGAAGATGGCTGAACGGTGCTTTCTTCGCGGCTGTGTACTCGATTTTCAATGCCAAGCAGATCTGGAAGACGGATCATACTTTTGCTCGCAAAGTCTTGCTTCACATTGAGTTCTTTTATCAATTCCTTAATCTGCTGTTCACCTACTTCGGTCTTGTGAGTTTCGCGCGCGCCCTTTTTTTTTTGAACTTGTGCACTGACTTAATCTAGGCCAATTTCTACCTCGCTTTCTACTTCATTGCTGGCTCTTTGACTGATGAGAAGCTTGATCCATTCGGTCACAACATGGGCAAATACATCTTCATTGTTTTGCGCTATGCTTGTATTCTGGTTATGTGCCTACAGTTCATTATCTCCTTGGGTAATCGACCGCAAGGGTGAGTCCACAATCCTTCATCATACATTGGACTCGACTGACATTTCTTTTTAGTGCCAAAAATCTCTATCTCTCTGGTATCATAGTGTACGCCATTATCATGTTTTACACGGTCTTCTGCGCTCTTTACTTGGTCGTCAAGGAGTTACTCGCACGTGCTGGAATCGGAAGCAGTGACCTGGACGTTGGGGACGGCCTAATGATGAACATCGTGATTTCCATGTTGTCAACCGTTGGTCTTTACTTCTACAGCTCATTCCTCTACCTGGACCCGTGGCACATGTTCACCTCTTCGATTCAATACTTCCTCCTTATGCCCAGTTACATCTGCATCCTCCAGGTCTACGCCTTCTGCAACACCCACGACGTAACCTGGGGAACCAAAGGTGACAACGTGATCAACACCGATCTCGGCTCAGCCAAGACCATCAACGGCTCTACCGTCGTCATCGAAATGCCCTCCGAGCAACTCGACATTGACTCCGGCTACGACGCGGCCCTCCGTAATCTCCGCGATCGCCTCGAGGTCCCAGAGCCCCCGCCATCAGACTCCCAGCTACAGGAGGACTACTACCGCGCCGTCCGTACTTACATGGTGTCCATCTGGATGGTCGCCAATGTAATCCTCGGCATGGCTGTGTCCGAAGTCTACGGTATTGATCAAGGTGGCACAAACATCTACCTCGCTATCATCTTGTGGTCCGTCGCTGTCCTCGCTGCTATTCGTGCTATTGGCTCCACTGCCTATGCCATCTTGAACCTCATTCAGATGATCGTTGAAGGGAAGACGAAGTTCGATGCCGGTAATATGTCAAACTTCGCCCCCAGCTCTTTCGGTGGTTCGAGTGCCGTTGGTACCTCCGAGTCTGGCGCGGCCTCGGCCCGTCCTGTGCGCTATGGCGGCGGTGCGTCCTTCAAAGATAAACTCGCCGAGGTCCGTTGGAGTGCTGGCAGGGCCGCTGGAAAAGCTATGTTCTGGCGCAAGTAGATGCTTAACATGATTTTCTTTTGCGTTTTCTTCTCATTTGTTTGCGGTTTCTTTCTTTTCCTTTTCGAGATCGCCATCCTAGCTTGGCTTTCCTGGGTCTCGTGGAGTTCCTCTGCTTTGGGTTTTCTTTTGAGATATCAGGTGTTCAATCTTCTTTTTTTCTCTTTTATGATGGAAATATTGTCATGATAGTGCTCTTTTTTTGTTTTTAATGCTCGTTGCTCTCACTTTCCAGATGCCTGGACATGTGTATTGATGGATGTACTTATGTGCTCTCTTTGGGGGCTGGAATTAATGCACTGGATGATGAATAAAAAATTACTCGAACCCATTTAATATCCATGACCTTTTCGATGTTTTTATCGTAGGCATATTCTACGTCGACTCGCCCGCAACTTTCAATTCCAACACCAGGCACCGCTAAAATTGAAAATTTATTCACAAAATTGGTATATCATGTCAATATTCCAATGAAAAAAAAGCCACACAACCCCCGTCATGAAATCCCATCTCCTAATATATACAATAATCTCATTTCTCATTAAGCCCATTCCCCTCAACCTCATGAATACGTGTATCCCGCGGCCCCAACTCTGCCGGAAACATCATCTTCTCCCTCTCCAGATAACCCGGATAAACCAAATGCTGCGTCGAACTCGCAGCAGCAATCTCATCAATCATCGCCTCCTTCCGTCGCAAGTTCTTCTTATATATTCGCCGCTGCACGAGCATCGTCACAACAGCGATCAGAAGACACCCCCCAATCCAGCGCCGAGGCCCGCGCTAATCACCGTCGTTTTTGAGGCTGGGCATGTGGCGCTTGAACTTGAGCCCGACGTGCATTTTGTATCTTCAGTATTGGTGTTGTTATTGGTTTCAGAATCGGCGGTGCTGGCGTTGGTCGACGAAGACGAAGATGGTGATGATGAGGTTTTTGACGATGGCGAAGAAGAGGATACCGATGATGAGATAGATGACTGAGACGAGCCTGATGAAGAGGAGACATCGGATGTGAGTGAAGTCACGGAGACGTTGATCATCTGGCCCATGTCTAGGCGCACGGCGTTGTCGCAACAGTTTGTGCCGTTTACGCTACAACACCAGAAGCCACGGCCTTGGGCGGGGCAGGGGATTACGTAGAGGGTTGCATCCGAGGCTATTTGAATGATTTGTTAGAGTGGGAAGTGAGGAGGTGAGGTTTGGTATGTCGAAGATGTATGTATGTATCATTGGGCAAGAAGAAAGATATAATCAACTTACCCGTATGACAGAGTTCGGGACACTGTCCGCTCTTCCAGGTCTTATCGGTGCAAGCGCCCTGTCGTAAGAGGCCTCGGAAATTTGGATCTTGGATATAGCATACTCCGCCAGAGAGGCAGATGTCATTGGGGGTTGTGTTGCTTTTGTCTAGGGAGCAGCAGGGGCTGTCCTCTTGGTCTGGGAAGCAGGGCTGGAAGCTTGAGTCTGCTGCTCTGCCGTCTGTGAGATAGCATTGCCGGGCTTGAACTATAATGGGAAACACTGCTTGGAAGATGAGGATGTGGAGGATTGCTTTAAGGCGAATCATTTCTTCCTTGTCCTTAATCGAAAGAGTAAAAGAGTCAAGGGAGGATGAGGGGAGGGGAAAGGGGATATTAATTTCATTTTAGACAGGGTCTGTTAGTTTCAAAATCAGGGTCTTTTTACAGCTGAAGCTCATGAGATAAGTAATAATAGCTTTGACTTCTATTGGGCTCGTAGATTTAAGGCGGTTAGTTGATCCTTCGGATTGGTTGGAAGCCCGCAGATCACTATGCCCTAAAAGTTCAACCCGCTAAGCGCTGGGGTTTCACGGGCTTATTTTTGGCGCCTCGCAAATAAATTAAAGGGGTTAAAAGGAATTATAACTCAACTATGAGCTAAATTCGTTGGACAGCATATTTAATTTACGGTTATTTTTAGAATGTAGTTTCATTATAGGAAGTGGTTACATCCACATGTCCCCGGGTAGTAGTACCTACAGCTCTATAGAACGCACAGACACACCAGGGTCAAATAAGAGGCAGAGAGAGAAACAGATAGCGTCCCCGCTCCCCAAAATTGGCCCAGTTGCTTGCGCATTAATGACTTGAATGTTGGGTTTCTTTTGGCCTAGAAAATCTGAAAATCCAAGCCCATTCATAGCCAAGGGTTCTACTCCGATGGAGCTACAATGTTGGCTGCCGAAGGAGCAGGAGCTTGCTCAGGATGTTGAGCAAGGTTATTGGGAGAGTCTTCAATTCAGGGCTGCAATGCTTGCTAACTGTCAATTAATCTACACTATGTTCAAAGTTGGTGCGGGGGATTCCACTTTAAACTCCACGTCCACCGATAACTTCGTTGGCAGCCAGGTAGTACAAGCGCAAGCATAGTTACCTATCCTATTATAAGGAATATTGAATGATGAACACCACGTACAATGCCTGTTTGCCTACATTGGTTGTTTGTATAGAGTGGTATGCTTTGTTTCTCACGCTTCCTCCGACTATAGATAGCTAGCTTTTCCCATGGAAACCCCATTCCTTTTTCCCGTCTGCATAGTACCTGCGCTCATTACATAGTATATTATATATTATCTACGTGTTAATTTAAATATCGATTTCCCAAGAACGTCTTTATCGTACATTATCATATATTCCATACAACTTGCCTTATGAGGTCACTTACTACCTCGATCCGGTCGACGATTTCGCTGCCCTTGTCCGCACAAATCGGAGTTTCCATAATTTGTTCAGCGCTCTACTGTCGGACGCCATTATTCAGGGGATCATTGGAGAAGAAGGTGGTATTTTATCCAGATCAAGTAAAGTCGTGAATCGCAAAATCGCATAATGGACCTCCCGAATGAAGTTGTTTGTTGGATCTGCTGCCACTACAGGGAAATCTGCCGGGAATCCAACGCGAACATCATCGTGAATAATGTCCCTTCCGAAAATGTTTTGGGTGTCGAGATCGTATGCCAAATAAAATTCGAATTCTACTTCATGGGTTGAAAACAAGGGGCACGGCAGTGAAATTTGCCATGATACGTACGCAATACCTCCTTTAGTTCAACGCATAAGTGACTTCGAATGTTCTAAGAACGTACAGACTCTATTATTGGCAAATGTTCTCTACACCCAAGACATCTTCAGAAGGGACATTATTCACGGTGATGTTCCGTTGGGTTCTCGGCAGATGGCCAGTTGTTACTTCTTATTATACTGTACTGAATATTCCGAAGTCTTCAAAGTCTACACTAATCAAGATGTTTTTCATATATAATCCAATCCTAGCGATCCCAAAGTATGGTTTGACCATTTCTCATTATATTACAAAATATTGATCGATAGATTCTAGCCGAGGTAAACTACCGCACCTTTCCGCTATTATCTCGCCTAATTCCACTTCAATGGCGCAACCCAATCCTGATAAACGTGATATTTACATAGTAATAACACTTATTATTAGCTTATCAGTGGTCTAAGTCTTCCAAATGTGATCTGGAAGCGACTCCAAATATTGATGCTTCAAAATGGGTGATAGGTTATTACCCCGAAGACCCTCACCCCGCATCACCGGTAAACACGGCAGTGTCGTATACACTACAAGGCCAATATATTGACTTACTAATACTTTTGAGGGGTCCTAACTTTTTGATGATTTCTTGGAATTCTGGCTATGGTCTTGATAATTTCTTTGAACTTATTCGAGGCTATCAAACATGTTCTCAGAAAAGAGCAAGACGGCACCCATTGATCCCGAGGCCACAGATCTAGCACATATCAGGGAAGATGAAGAGTCATCTGAAGTACCCTCTACATTTGCCGTAAAGGGCAAAGTACACGGATGTCTTCAAGTTCTTGGAGCTTTCTTTATATTCTTCAATGTCTGGTCTGTCAACCTTTCAAGTTATAATTCAATATCAAAATTAACATCCTTCCAGGGGCCTAAATCTCTCATTTGGAACATTTCAAAGCTTCTATGCACTCACCTACATCCCATCATCAACATCATCCGACATCGCCTGGATTGGGACAATCCAATCCTGGCTCCTGATCGTCGGCGGTCTACTATCCGGCCCACTCTTCGACCTCGGCTACAACCAGAGCATGATTATGGTTGGAAGTATTCTAGGCGTAACCGGCATGATGATGCTCAGTCTTGCACACGAGTACTACGCCATATTCCTAAGCCAGGGAGTCTGCGTGGGCCTCGGATTCGGACTGCTTTATGTCCCCGCCATTGCATTGGTCAGCCGCTCTTTCACAACAAGAAGGGCTGTTGCGCTAGGTGTTTCGAGTAGCGGTGCACCTGTCGGAGGCATTATCTACACTACCATGTTCAACCAGATTCTACCAAAAGTGGGGTTCCCCTGGACCGTTCGCCTTGTGGCGTTCGTGATGCTGGCGCTGTTTATTGCGGCTGCTTTTATGCTTTTGTGGCCAGAGAGACATTCAGTGAGGGTTAAAGCAACCCAACGTAGGAGCTTGATTGATTTGCGCGCTTTCAAGGATCTGCCTTTTTGGAGCTTTGCTATTGGGAATTTTTTCCTTTACTTGGGCTATATCACGCCTTTCTATTACATCCCCACTTATGCGGAGACAAAATTGGGCACGTCGAGTGCAATGGCATCTAATGTCTTGATGATTTCCCAAGCTTCTTCAGTTGTTGGCCGCGTTGTCTTGACTTTATTTGCTCATTACTACGGGTCGATGATTGCTTGGATCGTCTGCGGTGTGCTCTCAGGCGTTCTGTGTATTTGTTGGATCAGTGCAGATAGTCTGGTACGGTTTATCCTTTTTGCGGCCTTCTATGGTAAGTGAAGCTTCTTTGTCTGGGTCATCTATGCTCTAATTTTGACACAAATCACAGGTGGTATCTCCGGGGCCTTGATTCCTCTCCCGCCGAGCGTTTTCACTCACGTCTGTCCCGACCCCAAGAGTCTCGGGACTTGGCTTGGAATGGCACAGAGCTTGAGTAGCTTTGCGACTCTTGTGGGGCCACCAATAGCAGGTGCACTCGCTTCAATTGGTGCTGATGGTAGTGCGAACTTGAACTACCTAGGTATTCAATTGTTTAGTGGGATAGTCATGTGTTTTGGTGCGTTTCAACTGATCTTTTTATGGTATTTGCTATATAAAAAGAGGGGCAAAACTGGTTTATTTTAAAAGGAAAAAGAGCTGTTTTCAGTCCACATGTCATTAATTGCTACCTAGGTCCTATTAGGACCATACGAAATTGACCCCACTATTGAGCTAATAGCTAATATGTAATTTTTTGGCTCACATCACTGTCAAATAATCCCTGCTAGCTTTCGAGTAGAATCATATAGATCGGAGAACCAACCTATCATATCCTCTTTAGTCACGGGATCTCGGGATTCGCAACAAATCACACTGGCGTGAGTCACAGTCACTAGCTGATCTGATAGCATCCAGAGAATAAAATAAAACTAAATACTATATATAATTTCGTCTCCCTCTCCAATTCCTAACTAGCAATAACTCGAACAAAACTCAAACATGGCATCACTACGCCCAAAAGGCCCACTAGTCTCCTTCACTCCAGCTCTACTACCAACAAGCCAAACAATCCCAGGACGAACAATTCTCCTCGAGAAACTCTCCCCAAAGCATGCCGATGACCTTTTCGCCCTAACCGGTGGGCTTGAGCCACCCAGAGAAGCTCTATGGGACTACATGTTCGATGGGCCGTACTCAGACTCCGAAGCCTTCAAAACCAGCATTGCATCGAAATCCACTTCAACAGATCCTTTTTTCTATGCAATCATCGACCAGCGCAACGCTATCCCCACTTTTGGAAAAGCAATTGGTTATCTCTCTCTGATGCGTATGAATCCCGACCACCTGGGCATCGAAATCGGGAATGTGATGTACTCGTCTGCTCTCCAGCGCACAACTGGTGCGACCGAGGCTATCTATCTCCTCGCTCAGCATGCTTTCCACGATCTTGGGTATAGGAGATTGGAGTGGAAATGCCATTCACTGAATGAACCTTCGCGGCGTGCGGCGCTGCGCTTAGGATTCTCGTTCGAGGGGATTTTTCGGCAGCATATGATTATCAAGGGGAGGAATAGGGATACGGCTTGGTATTCCATTTTGAAGGACGAGTGGGATGCTTCGCTAAAGGCTTCCATGGATAAATGGCTAGATCCTGGGAACTTCGGGGAGGATGGTGGTCAGATTAGGTCGCTACAGGATTTGAGAGCTGGGGGTAGAAAGTGATTGTTCGCATTTAGATATTTAGAAGGTTACATCTGGACAGCCATTCCTGCTTACCTATAGAGAGCATATATAAAAAGCAAACCATTATCTTTATGGATTTTGTTTTAACGTACACAAAAGAGAACGCAGGTCCCCCCGACATTAACAACATGCCCCATGGACAAAGTCTCTTGCCCACTATAAATTATGCTGTACGGAGTACTCCGTATATGTTTTTATATTTCTAGACGGCGATGAGATTGGTGTGGAACCAAGCTGAAAGTTCAACAGTATCCACTTCCAAGGTTGCTGCCACTAAATACTGCATTGATACCCGATTTGAACCAGGGGGACTACATATAATAATAACATAAATAAATTCATTGGAAGACTAATAATTTTCAATTGCCTAAGTAAATTTTCCCCTGATATTTGAAATTCGAATCTGAAGCTGCATCATTCAGAAGTGAAGATATCTCAATATGTCCGAAACGCTGAAAAAACAGTGGAAGAAGGCAAAGAGCTTTGCGAAAAATCGTGGCCAGCAATGCAACAACGCGCCTGACGAGATAGTACAACTGAGCCAGACCCAACAATATAAAAAATCCAACAATCTCCCTGTGAATGGTGGAAAATACGACCCTCCTGATCTATGGCAAGCTGCTTTTCAACAATTGGATGTTAAACACAAGAGCGCCTTGATGACCAAATGGTCGGATCCCGGCAATGGCACAAAGAGTACCGATGCAACTGGTCTAGATATCAAGATTGCCCTCGATAAGGTCATTGACACTGTCAAAGAGCAATATGAGATCGGGAAATTGAAAGACGAAAAGAAGTGGCTGAATGGTGCTCCTCAAAAGATCCTCGGTGCAGTCTTAGCGCTTCAGTCGAATATATCAGCTATCGTTGCCTGTGATCCTACGGGCCACGCAGCAAGTGCCTGGGCTGTCATCTCGCTCGGATTATCTGTAAGTTGAAAGAAATTGTTCTCAAGGCCATGTCTATATAGTGGCCTCTGCAGTACTAGGGGTAAGGATTTTTACATCCAGACTTACTCTAGAAAAGGGATGCGACAATTCTTTATTGTACCACGCTAATTTCTTGAGAGATTACACAGAATTACCGGAACCAGCAGGGGATATGGCTTTCATCGGCGGAATACTTATCAGATATTGTTTCGCGCATGATCTTGACCGAGATTTCTTACCGTGGTCAACACGCTGCAACGAAAGATGGCGTAGAAAACTCACTTTCTCGAATATACTTTGAGATTCTACGTTATTCGGCAGAGATCATGAGGATCCAAGATCGCAAGTGGCCCAAGAATTTGCTCATCACTGCGATGAATGATATACCTTTGGAAGGTATCAAAACATGCATCATAAATGAAGAGTCTAGCTTGGAACGATGGCTCAGTATGCAACAATTCCTTGAATCTCGGGATAACACGAAAGATATTTTGGCTCAAGGCGGCAATATACTGCAAGTTGTTCATGATATTCATGACAAGCTGAAAGACTTCCAATCAAAAGTGGCGGAAAACGCAGTCTTCGACACTTACGAGGAACATCCAACAGGGGAATGCCTCCCTGGCACAAGGACCGAGGTTCTTCAAAGTCTCACCGACTGGATCGACAACTCGCCTGGAGAGACTCTTTTCTGGCTGGAGGGAATAGCAGGGACGGGGAAATCGACCATCTCGCGCAGTTTTGCCAAATCGATGCAAAAAGAGGGCTTCTAGCAGCAACCTTCTTTTTCAATAGCGGAGAGACCGACCGAGCAAGTTTAAGGATGTTTGCTCCCACAATCGCGAGACAGCTTGCCGATGCGTTTCCTATACTTAAAAAAGATATCTTGGATGCAGCGCGCTTTGCCTCTGCCGCATTCGGAATTCAGTTCGATGAACTCCTATCCAAGCCGCTTTCAAAACTCAGAAGAACCAATGGGTACCAGATAACTCAGGTCATAGTCATCGATGCTTTAGACGAATGCAAAGACGACAACATCAAATCACTACTCCAGCTTCTACCTCGACTCAATCAAGCCGAGTCATCGATCGATTTTCGAATTTTCATCACGAGCAGACCTGAAAATCCCATCCACTATTTGCTCCAAAGGATTGTGGCAAAAGGCCAAACGATAGTTTTGGAAGGGATTGATCAGTCAACAATCGAACGTGACATCACATTGTTCTTCGAAAGAAAACTTCCGGCGATAAGAGATGCGAGGCCAGACGAGTCTCTCAAAGACGACTGGCCAGGACAGAAGAATGTTGACATTCTGATCCAAATGGCCGTGCCGCTTTTCATCTCGGCCGCGACTATCTACCGACAGCTGGAGTACCCTTACTCTCCTGCGGAGCTCATATTGGATGATATTCTTGCGAACAGATACAAGAGTTCAAAGTTGGCCGCAATCTACCAACCTGTGCTGAACAGATTTCTGGACCATCCAGATCATTCAAAGGCTAATCTAATCGAGGAGGTTCGTCTTATCGTAGGCGCAATTGTCCTTCTTGAAGATCCCCTACCTATCGACCCACTTGCTAAGCTAATTGACATCTCTCATCAAATCGTTGACAAAACTGTTCGGTCCATTTCATCCGTTTTAATGGTACCTCAACGTATAGATGAGCCCGTCAGAACTTTCCATAAGTCATTCCGAGACTTCATGCTAGACCCCGAAACAGATATTGATTCTACAACAGACAAAAATCCATTCAGAGTCGATGCTCCGGCAATGCACAGAAAGCTCGCATCTGATTGTGTCCGAGTGATGCAAAGAGCAAAAGGTGGTCTTCGGAAAAACATCTGCCGTTTAGAGAGTTACGGAACCCCACGTGCACAGATTGATCATGAAAGGATAAATTTCCACATACCAAAAGAATTACAGTATGCCTGTCGGCATTGGGTGGATCATCTGCAGCAATCGGAGACATCCATCTCCGATCGAGACGAGTTTCATTTGTTCTTAGAAGGGAACTTTCTACCATGGGTTGAAGCGATGGTTATATTGGGCTACAGTTCAGAGCCTTTCAAAGCTCTCACTACCTTGCGGTCTATCATTCGGGTAACCTCTTCTCAATTTTCTTCGCTCATGGGATATCTCTAACGCGGCTCTACTAGGTGGACACTGGCTCAGCACTCTCGCAGTTTCTTTATGACGCAAAAAGATTTCTCCTGAAAAACATGGCAACCGCCGAGCGAACACCATTACAGATTTATTCTTCTGGACTCGTATTCGCCCCTCACAAATGTACTATCAGGAAGACTTTCCAGGAACTTATACCGCAATGCTTCACCCAGCTACCGCATGTCGAATCGAAATGGGGGCCACACTTGCAAACATTTGAAGAGAACACATATCATGTAGATGATATAGCTTTTCCCCCTGACGGGTCTTTACTTGCATCTAGTTCTCACAAAGCTTTGATGCTTTGGAACACAGAAACCGGCACACTCCAGCAACACCTTGACAAATCTCACGGGCCGGCATTTTTAACTACAGAAGAAGGACTTGTATTTACAAGAGCCTCAGTTGCATTTTCTCCTGACGGGAATTTGATTGCCTCGGTAATCGATGATAGGACTGTACGTATATGGAATGTCACCTCAGGTCTGGTCATGTTGCAGAGAACCCTTACGGTAGTCGACGATGGCGTTTACAAAGTGGCGTTCTCGCCCGACAGTGAACACTTAGCTGTGGCTTGCATCAATAAGACTGTGCAGATATGGTGTCTCGAACCAATTGGTCTTCAGCTCACTATCGAGGGGCATACAGACGCTGTTCAATGTGTGGTATTCTCGCCTGATGGAAAGTTTCTGGCATCCTCGTCTTCCGATGGTACCATCATACTATGGGACGCTGGCTCCCAGTCTTTCGAGCTGCATGCCGTTCTCACTGGAAATATTGGTGCCATAAAGTCAGTGGCGTTTTCACCCGACAGTCACTCCCTAGCCTCGGCATCCGAAACAGTGATGATATGGGATGTGATCTCGGGTAAGCTGAAGAAGACGTTGTCGGTCAGGAGCGGATACAACATAAATTCAATTACATTCTCACATGACGGTGAATCCATTTTCTCCACCTCGAATGGTACAGTCAGGATTTGGAGCATCTCTGAGGACAAAGAGGTGTTTGCTCTTCAAGGACCAGGTGGTGATACCCAAGAATCTTTCAGCACACTTTCGTTGTCGTTAAACGGCCTACTACTAGCGAGTTCTTCGCGAGCCAAAATTTGGCTCTGGGATATATCTCCATTTTTGTGGCCTGAGAACTGCCCAGCCCCCACCGGAAATGTGAGGTCGCTGCTTTTTTCCCCCGATAGAAGCTTTGTTGCCTCTACAACAGATAAGGATCTCACTCTATGGGATTCATATACAGGGAAACGCCTATTCCGCAACAACGGTGGCATTCTGCATGAAGAAACAGTTGCCTTTTCCCCTGATAATAGGGTGATTGCATTCTGTTCAAGTCCTGACTATACCCTAAAGATGCGGTCCACGGACTCTGGTCTGCCCATAAATGTCATTAATGCCACTGGTCACAACGCAATTTTCAATGCGATAGCGTTCTCGGTTGATGGAAAACTGATGGCCTCGGTGGGGCTCAAAGTTATACAGATATGGGATATGTTATCTGGGCAGCTATTGCAAAGCATGGAAGTTACCGACCACGAGCCGAAGTCTCTAGCCTTCTCCAATGACAGCAAGATACTAGCCTCGGGCTACGAAGGCCTAAGGGATTACGAAATATCGGATAAACAGCAAAATGCAGACGGAATACGTACAGAGATCGAGTCATCCGAGGATTTCAAGCATCGGGAAACGACTTCCTCGGTCTATCAGGTAAACACCGTCACAATTTGGGACACCGACACGGGAGCATTGATTTCTACCTTGAGAAATACTGAAAAGGAGTACGATCGCGTTGAGGCACTGGCGTTCTCCCCAGATGATAAGCTACTAGCTTCTTCATCGTGGAGTGGTAGGATAAAAATATGGGATATTGGATCGTGCAGTATAGTATATACAGATGACGGCCCGGAAGGATTAGATCTGAACCATGTTCCTCGATTCTGGTTTTCCGAATCCGGAAGCACACTAAAGACAAACAAAGATTCCTATGAAATTCGCAGGGAGGAAAAAAATGGGCCAGCTTCTTTTTCAAAGACTGAGCGTTGTATAGAGGCACGGTGGGGTGGAGAATGGTTACAGTACAAGCAGCATAATATTCTCTGGCTACCAACCGAGTACCGTGCCTCGCACTCCGTTGTTCGCGACAACCTGGTTGCTCTTGGACACAACTCTGGAGATGTTTCATTCATCCGCTTGAAGGGCATCCCTGGAGATGAGCTAGAGGGGCTCTTGGATTGATCCTTCTTCTGCCCGCATACTTATTTCTTGGGTATTCTCTTCTCTCTACATGATTCAAGTTTTCTGTAACTATCGATAGAGTGAAGCAATCTATGCAAACAGCAGTATTGTCGGATGGGCACCACGCTAGCGTATGGATACAACATCTGTACGAGGGATATATGTTATCGATTCCGAGGAAAGCAGTAAGCACTAGTAGAGAGATGGGCCAATGGTTGCCTTGAGCCGTACTTGAGGTGTGTCTTCTAAAATACAGTATATTGGGGATGCAGCACCAAAGTCAGCCAGGTACTGCGGGACTTGTCAAGGTTTAGTTAGTTAGCCCTGAGGTATTGCCCGCTTATATAAGGCCCGCGTGCTTAGAATGCCTTCCAGCCCGTCGATAGGCAATGTCGTAGTTTAATTAGGATTGAAGGGCCATAGATCGGTAAAAGACTAGGCAGGATTAGCAGTAGATTGGTTAGTAAATTTATTAATTCCTTCATATTTTTTATGGTATATACGGGTAAATACCCGAGCTCTTCCATATTTTATAAAACAAGCAAGAACCCAGCGAAACTACATAGTCTACCGATATATGGCATCACTAGCGACATTTTGAATGTCTATAGAGCATGTTGTTAATGTCGGCAGGACCTATAATTTCTACACAAAAGCCCTTTGTTCTTCATAGGAAGGAGATCGTTAATGCGCTATTGAAGATCACCGACAGGGGTAACTAACTCTACGACTCCACCTGCCCCACCATTCAGCAGAGCTCGAGGGAGTTAAGAGCAAAGTAATTCGAGTATAACTGCATTACATGTAAGATAAGGGTAATACTATGGATGTCAAAAGGGGAAACCTCATACGGAGTACTCCGTACAGACAGACTATGTCAAATAGCTATGTGATGGATTTTTGATGTGACCAGATCAACATAAAATGAAATCCGAGATCCGAGATCGACTAGACCGATGTTCTCCGAGATCTCCAAAAGATCTTATCGAACTTCTCCATCAGAACCTCTATGATTGGAAGATGATCATATTTCCAAAGTTTAACGAATAGACGCAGTGCGGTTCATCAATCTCAATCCTTTAGCGGGTCTGTTTTTCGGGCTGAGAGACAACACGCTACCTCGTTCCTGTACTTTGCGTGCAGCCCTGCAATGACAAATAAAGAAATTATATCCTTTCGCAAGAACAACATTGGCAACGTATAAATACCCCCAAAATTACCCCAGTACACCATCTATTCATTAAATCATTACCTCCTGATTAATTCAAACCATTTCCCAAATGTCCACATCAACAATGTCACCCAACGAAACCGCACCCACTAGGGAATATGGTTTCAACCCCAAACAAGGAGTAAACTGGGCTGACTACCTCACCTTCCGCCCAATTTACCCACCCTCCTTTTTGAAAAGATTTTCGCCTATCACTCCCAAAAGCCCCACTCCACCTGGTCCCTCGCCCAAGACATCGGTGCCGGCTGCGGAATCGTCTCATCGAGTCTTGCGCCCCGCTTTAACAAAGTAATCGTCTCAGATCCCAATGAGGGATACACTGCACTCGCTCGCAGAGTTCTCGTCGGGGAATCTGGACTGCCCGAATCCAAGTTCCGGTTCCTGCAGGAAAGTGCCGAAAGGAGCTCTGTGGAATCTGGCTCAGTCGATCTGATCATGGCGTGTGAATGTATTCACTGGACGAGGCCGGAAATTGCGATTGCTGAGTTTGCACGGGAGTTATGTGCCGGTGGAACGCTTGTCATTACGCACTATAATTATCCGCGCATTGTTGGGAATGAGAGGGCTCAGAAGGCATGGGAAGCTGTTTGTACGTTTTATGCGGGCGAGGTTCATGACCCGATGCTTGATCATGCGTTGAGGATCTTGAACTCTGGGACGGAGGCTCTGGGATTCCCTGTGGAGGATTGGGAAGGGGTGAAGCGGTTGTATATTAATGCTCGGGGGAGTATTGAGGCCTTTAGGATTAATGATCGAATTGGTGAGAGTCAGGTTAGGGATGGGGAGGAGACTGTTTGGGAGGAGGATGATGCCGACTGGATGGATGAGCAGGACTGTGACTGGTTTAAAGGCTATGCATCTACCTGGACGACACCGAGTGTATCCGAGTCAGACATTAATCCGCTTTGGGATGACATGGAGAGGGCTTTTGAGGGGAAGAAAGTGAAGACTGCTACGCCAGTAGCTATGGTCTTTGCTACGAAGAGACATAGCTGAGGAGTGAATATGTGTTAAGTTAAAAATAAAACTAATCAAAGCAATTTATCTCCATTCATCAGTTAAACCTTCAAGTGCTTCGTCTCCCTAACAATCTCCTCGACAACCTTCGCCGCTGCTAGCGTCTCTTCATCTTTAAACCGTCTGCCAGCAATCTGCAGTCCCACCGATGCGCCCTCATACCTCTCCGGGTCCTCGTACTTACGCCACTCCCTCTCATCGACCTTATCCCGGGGAACATACCTCTTATCCTGCTCTGTTAACACGTCTACCTTGGGATCCACGGTGATTCCAGATGGGAACACCACAGAGGGCAGGTCAACCAAGTTCCAAATAGCAGTATAGTTCCAATAATGCGACTCGCCCATCACTGCCGCGGCAGCGGGATATGTCGGGGAGAGAATAAAATCGACACCACGACTCTTAAGAAGAGCATGGTACTCGTCTCTGTAGATATCACGCTGCTCCTGCAGAGCCCATGCCTCGGGGTGAGAAAGAGGCGTGCTTCGGCTATAGGAGAGAGCCCAGTCGGTTAGTGGGCGCAATGGCTCGCCTGATTGCGCAATGACCTCGCGTTGCTTGCTGGCAGCATCAGGGTAGTACAGAGCGGACTAAGCCATGTTAGCATTCTAGCGTGTATGACCAACGTAGATTCAGCACTCACAATAACTTCCCAACCGTGCTGGTGCTTATACGGTTCCCAGTCTACGACTTTCACACCTGCCGCTACCAGCTTCTCCTTGGCAAGTCTCAACGCGCGAGTGATGGGTGGATGGGGGCGGACGCAGCTAGGAAATGGATTAGCACACTGGCAATAAGCATATATGTTGGGATCATGACACACCCATCATCCCACATAATAGCCACAGTCATATCCCGTGTTGGAGCAACCGTCTTCCATGGCACAGGCACCAGCGACGTCTCAATATCCCAAGGCTCCTGCTCCAATGCAGCTTTCTGGAACAGCTCTAGATCCTCAATGGAGCTACTAGCTAACGGACCCACCACACCGTGTATAGTCTCCTGGCCAGAAGCAGCCACTTTGAGTCCTGTTACAGGGTTCCGCATTGAAGAAGGACGGAAGCCATACACGCCGCAAAACGCTGCGGGGCAGCGAATTGATCCGCCGATATCAGTTCCAATCCCTAGTGGTGCACACCGGAAGCCCATTGATGCGCCCTCGCCGCCAGAAGACCCGCCTGGACTTAGAGTGCGGTTGAGCGGGTTCAATGTTGTGCCGGTGATGTTGTTGCTGCAGCATAGGTGCTAGATGGTATTAGTTATGAGTTATGAGATACACGGGTAATGTAGAATTTATGGACATACCATCAATGATTGGGGCTGGTTAGTCCGGACATGGAAGATGGCGCCAGCTTTAGATAGGAGTTGGAGGAGAAAAGCATCTTCCGTGCTGACTTGATCAACCCTGTTGCTTGTCAGTAATGTTGGTTTGTCGTGGTAGATTCTTGCTCACCAAGCTACGTATCCCGTGTTGCATGTTCTGTTCTTCATAGATATGTGCTCTTTTACACTGATTGGTATGCCATGCTGTGGTTATTTCATTAGAACCTTGCCGGTATAAACTTTAGGCATGTATATGAGCTTACCAGAGGCCCGACCAGTTTTCCTGTGCGTCTGTAGTACTCGTCATGCTCTTTGGCGCGAGCAATTGCCTCCTCTGCCATAAACTCTGTTGCAAAATTGAGCTAACAAGAATGTCAACGCCGGAACCTCAAAAGACGAGTCTCCTAATCTCACCAGTTGGTGGCCCAACACAGCCCTCTTCAAGAACGCAACCACCACTTCTTCCGCGCTCAGTTTTCCATTTCCCATTTCCGCCACCAGTGCGGTGGCTGACATCTCAGTAATAAGGAGCTCGCGCTCATTTAACAACCCGCTTTGCTTGGGAAAATCAACCACACTCTTCCGCGAGACTGGCGGCAGCCTATCGATGGGAAGGAGCCATTGCTTCGGAATGGAATTATTTAAGATGTCTTTGCCTTTTTGGGCTTGGCTTTCCCAGTTACGAGTCATATTGAGTGATAATTGAAATTGAATATGGGAGTATACCGTTGGGTTTGGAGGGTAAACTTAGAGAAAAAAGGAAAGATAAACACAGGCATTTCGTCCTACGCACTTCCCCGCACACAATCTGTGTGACATGGCTATCTCGGAATCGGAACTTGTTAGACAATGACCTTTCCTAGCGGTTCATCCCCGCATGGCAGATTGGAGGGCTCTTATCTGCGGGACATCTTGCTGATTACATGTAACGAATGGATGCGGAGTAATTCCGTTCTGACTTTGATAGCCGCAGTACAGTCATACACCTTTGTATATCTCTCGAATATCGAAGTTAAGTGGGAAAGGGGGAAAGGGGGAAAGGACTATAGAAATTAATTAATTACTGACATACCTAGCTAGGGTGATATAATACTGGCCCCTCTTAGGTTGCTGTATGTTCATAGCCATATCTACGCGTCATAGTCACACCCCTCAGTAGGGGGGACATCTAAATATAAATCTAAATATACAGGCCCCTTGGATTTATTCTGATTTTTTCTTTCCTGAAAAAACGGAAAACATCAAAAATTGCATCATGTCGGGAGGTGTATCCGGTTCTAAGGACGTGATGCGAGACTTGCTCCTACAAGGGGAATTCTCTGACATGGAAACCATTAGTCGAGGAATCACTTTCAAAGATCACCAGTCTATTGTTTGCGCCCAGTCAAGCTACTTCAAGAGCGCAATCTATGCGGGTTTCAAGGTATAATCGAGAAACTTGGCTCCATTTCGGTTGATAATTGCTTATTACTCGGGAAACTAGTGCGAAAGTCATCAATCTCCAGGAAGAAGCATTATAAAAGTAGGAGATAAAGATAGGACACAAAATGTGGTGTACCAGAGCCAGGAGTGTCCTTTGTCCGTCCTTTCAGCTTGTATATTAACCTAACAAGATATCGTATTTCATCATACTGAATAATGCTAAAGCAGTTATCAAGGTGAGTGCTCCATAGACCACCGTGCATTGGCTACACTATGTTTCATTTCGAGATATATTTATTGCGCTTCTTAGTGGGGCCGCTGTCGGCCGCCATTCTCACGACGCCTTTGGTGATAGAGGGAAACGCCAAAGCAGTGTGAATGGACAAAGGTTTCTCCATACTTCTCGTACGGCGGCTATCGCTAAATCTGTTGGATAATAGCCTTGCAGCTTAAGAGGTTCCAAGGTAAATATCGTGACCAACTAAGGTGTTTGACAAGTTGGATTTCAAAGAAATATATATAATATCCAGGTTGCTCCGTGCATGTCAATCCACTAGCAAATGGAATAGCCTTTTGATAGAATAAAGGGATTATTAGACTTTCCAATAATCCATGGACACTTACTTGCTTGCAAGGTATATCAGAATTGATATGCCAAGACCCAAAGTTGCGCCATGATACTAATAGTGACGTTCTAGAAAATGAACCAATCACTACTAGAAACATGCATTTTCGACAGCTTAATTAATATTGACTCAATAGTTTTTATTAAAAAAATAAAATTAATAAAAAGAAATCTCTCCCTCGGGGAATCGAACCCCGGTCTCCCGCGCTTATCGGTGTTAATGACAAGCGGAAATCATCACCACTAGACCAAGGAAGATGTGATGGTCGAGTTACTGCTCGACCACTTGGCTGGTTGATGGAGAGACATGGTCATCTTGACATTATGATCATGTTAGCAAGTTCTCTTCTCTATCCACAACAAGTCAACTGCTTGCACACTGTCCCGCAGGTAACCTGGCACCGGGGAGAGCCAGGCAACACCTCATCAACTTCCTCCGATAGCTCGGGCTGCAATGTAATTGAGTGGATTCCATAGGCGTGGAAACACTCATTGATTACGCGCGCTGTCTTCATAAAGTCCTCTACCGAGTCCTCAGACACGACAACGTGCACTGAGGCGAGATTTTTTTGTTGATTGAGGCACCAGATGTGGAGCTCGTGAACTGAGTTAACACCCTTGATCTGGTGATTGTTAGGAATAACAGAGATAGAATGATTAAGGTGGAGGTGGAGGAGGAATTACCCTTTCTAAGTCGTGTTGAATATCGCCCATGTCAATCCCCGTGGGAACGCTCTCTAGCAGAATCACTCCAGATCGGCGCACTTAATTGTGTCAGTTCTCTTTCTCTTAACCCTCTTCTGTTGAAAAGACTTACTCAGAGGGAAAGATGATAGAATAATAAGGATGGCAATGAACATGCTTACACATAGGTGACAGGCTATGATCATGACGGTGTGAATGTCCATGCCCATGTCCATGTTCTGGGCACTATTAGCATGATACTTAACAACGACCCCATTAACCGTACCGTGAAGGACGACTGCACTAATAATATTCAGGCCCAATCCGATACACCCAGTGATGAATATCAACTTGGGGTTATGAACATCTAGATGCACCGTTAGTCGTGGCTAGACAAGATCAACATCCAGTCTGGGCGATGGCACCGACTTTGTATAGCAACAAATCGCTCAACGGACTGCAAAAATATACCAATACCCAGTGCAAATAGCAGAACACCATTAAAAAAGGCACCGAGCAGCTGAGCCCGCTGCCAACCAAAAGTAAGCTCCTTAGGCGACTCACTGCGCTCGGATTTCTATACTTCACATCAGCCCACCACGCATTCAAATGCCAAAGTACACAGTACCTTCAATGCAAAAAGGGCAATAATGAACCCAGCTAAATCATTCAGCTGCAATGTATATTAGCCAACAAAACCCCCCCACTCCACAACCGAAAACTCTTACATAGTGGAAAGCATCTGCAATCAGAGAAATAGAGTGGGCATAGAAGCCAACTAGCATGGTGTCAGTATATCAATTCTATACCAAAATTACTACCACCACAACCAAAAAAGGGCAACCTACCCGAAATCTCAGCTAGAAAGAAACATGTCGATATACCAATCACAACTCTCAGCCGTGTTGAGCGTGATAGATGAAGAACCATGACTGCGGAGATCCAATAACAGAAGAAGAATTGAAACGGAGCAAGAGACCAGGAACGTAGCTTACCATTTGGCGAAAGGGACAATTTTCCCCTGTGTGACAGCGAATACTTCTGCCTTCCAAGCTAGTTCAAATAGCAATGGCTGGATATTCCTCCAGTGTAACTCTTCGTCTACAGTGTATCACAACATCCGAATGTGATATTTAACTAGAATCTTGAATCCGCAATGAGCCTTTTACAAAAGAGACAGAATCTAAGGAATGATTCAAATTTGATTAATTAAAAGAAAAATAAACAATCTTCATACAATTTTCATGGTCACATCCAATTCGTTTCACACGAGCACCAACTCAAGCAGCAATCTGGTCAGAAAGTCCATCCAGCTCACGCGCCCAGTTACGGTGTCGAGAGATATGCCAAATGAACTGCTCAGCCAGACCCTTCGCATCAGGCCCGACCGTGCCAACCTTCAACAATGAAGCCGCATCCCCATAGCCCGTAATAACACCGTACGACTCCTTGAGCGGAGAACCATTCTTCGCAACCTCGACCTCAGAAAGCCCGATCTGCTTCTCAATAAACGGCACGGCCTCATTAGCACCAGCAATAGCCTTAAGATGAGCAAAAGCCTCGGAGATCCAGTGCTTGAACACGCCATTCTTCAACAGCGCCTGGATATGTTTTCCGCCAGGCACGTAGACCGCATCGAACAGCGTCGACCGCATTCCAGAAAAGAAGTGATCGGGGATAACCTTCTGTCCAGACTCGGCAGTCACACCCTGGCGCTGCGCACCGATCGTGAAGACAAATGCCCCGCGCTCGCTAAGCACTTCTTTCATCGTGGTATACTGGTTGAAGTCGAAGCCGTCGGCAAGCAGGATGGCGATCCGGCGCGTCGCGATGATGGGTTTCTCCGGCATGTATTCAAGTTGGCTCAGACCCTTGGCTTTGGTACCCTTGTTTTCCTTTAGGGATTTGACGGGTGTGTCGCCGCCGACGTTCTTTGCAACGGTCTTGGCTAGGTCTAGATCGATTGCTGATAGACGCTCTGTCATGCGCTTGTAGACGACGGGATCGTCGCAGTGGTCTAGCTCGAAGGAGAATGCCTTCGCCACGTGCAGCTTTTCAATCGGTGAAAGCGAGTTGTAAAATACCTGCGCCTGGTTGAAGTGCTCCTTGAACTTATCTGACAGTGCGCGCTTCTTTGCGCCCTGCTGCTTCTCCGGGTAGGTAACAAAGCCGCCCTGCTCTGCTGTTGCGGGCGGGTTGGCTTCGAACCGGTTCGGCCAGTAGTTCACCTTGCCCTTTGTGATGCGGTGTCTGCCCTGACCGTCGCGATTGACTAAACTCATGTATGGACAGACCGGCCGGTTGATGGGCAGTTCCTCCCAGTTCGGTCCGAGTCGCGAGATCTGCGTGTCGAAGTATGAGAAGTTACGGCCTTGAAGCAGAGGGTCATCGGAGAAGTCGATTCCAGGCACGATGTGACTCGTGCAGAATGCAACCTGCTCGGTTTGAGGGAAAAACTCGTCGACATTGCGGTTGAGTTCCATCTCGCCGATGTAGCGGATGGGCACCAGCTCTTCGGGCCAGACCTTCGTGGCGTCGAGAGGGTCGAACTCGAAGTCGTCGGCTTTTTCTTCGGGGATGAGCTGCAGGCCGAACTTCCATCGTGGGAAGTGTCCTGCCTCGATCGCCTCCATTAAGTCTTTCCGATGGAAGTCGGGATCCTGGCCGCCGATCTTCAGCGCCTCGTCCCAAACGAGCGAGTGTACGCCCAGCTCGGGGGTGAAGTGGAACTTGACGAAATGGCGTTTGCCGGCCTTGTTAATCAAGGAATAAGTATTCACGCCGAATCCTTGCATCATCCGGAACGACCGCGGAATAGCTCTATCAGACATAATCTACCACGAACCGCGTCAGCAACCACAACCCAAACAGGAAATAGAAATACTAACCCACTGATTCATGTGTGTAACCTCCGAATGCATATACTGAAAATCCCAGAAATTATTATGCGCAGACTGACCCTGCGGCACCTCATTATGCGGCTCAGGCTTAACAGAATGAATAACATCGGGGAACTTGATCGAGTCCTGGATGAAGAAAACAGGAATATTGTTCCCGACAATATCCCAATTGCCCTCCGCGGTATACATCTTGATGGCGAACCCGCGCACATCGCGCACTGTATCCGCACTGCCCTTACTACCCTGCACAGTTGAGAACCGCAAGAATAGCGGCGTCTCCCGGCTGGTGTCGGTCAGGACTCCGGCAGTTGTTACGTCCGCAGCGCTCTCGTATAGCTTGAATTTACCGAAGGCGCCTGTTCCGCGGGCGTGCACTACTCGCTCTGGGATGCGTTCGTGATCGAAACGCATGATCTGTTGGTGATTAGTTTGTTTGTTCGGATATACATCTGTGTATGTGTGTACGGATATGGATGTGTAGATTTACCTTCTCGCGGGCGATTTGGTCTTCCAGAAGTGAAGGCCCTATCTTCTTTTCGTCTACGATGCGGAGCCATTGATCTGGGTTGGAGATTTTGACGCCATGGTCGGTTGTCATGTGCTGCTTGTCGTGGACATCGACAGTGTCCTTTTGTAGATCGGCGTGTTTGCCGTCTGCAGCCTTGGAGTTTGGATTTGCTGCCATAGTGTGTGTGGTTGATATTGATGGTATCAGATCAAGGGGGAAACAGTAAGTGAAGCGTGTGTTGGTCTGAATTTCCCATTTTATATATGAAAACCAGGCTGATCCCCGTGCAATTCCCCAAGTGCGACGTCAATGATGTAATCCAGTTGCCAGGTCGCGTCTACCAACGAAATAAAATCATACAATTACAAATCCCATAGTCAATTACCCAAGCCATGGGGTCTAGCCAGAGTGGAATAACCGCATTGCAAGAATGATCATAGTATGACCTACCACCTGTACCCTAACGTCGGGCACCTACCAACCAATGCCGACAGGAAAACCTGTAATAGAGGAAATTAGACAAGAAATATTGTGAATTCCTACATTTTCATTCGCGGGGGAGTTTCCTGCAATCCACCAAAGGCAAGCTATAGCCCGGTAGCTTTTGCTTATGTGGTCGATCATGGGAGTTCCACTGGCAACCTTGGAATACAAGGCATTGATATTGGTATGGTGGGTCATACCGATTGCAGGTGGCATATGACGTGAACTTATGCCAGGATTCGAGCTTCCTATTTATTGGACGTCCTGCCCAAGCGGGTTCTCCTGGAGAACTTGATGAAGTATGACGTCACCTGATATCAGTGGAAATAATGCCCGAGCTAACACGATCTATACAAATCTGGGAGTTAAATAAGGTAGGTTTACTTTGCAATATGCCGTAAATAACTCAAGGGAGATCCAAGATAATTCAATTCTAAGAAATGCTATGCTATATACACTAAACTCGATCTATGTGCACAGGTATCTCTATAGCACAATGTAGCGTCTGAACGAAAATAAAGGTAGGACAAGTAGAATCTACATATTATCCTCACTCCAATGACTCCGTGTCTTCTGCCAAGCGGCCCGTTCCTCCTTGGTCTGCGCCGGACCGTTTCCAAGCCCCAACCCACGCTCCACCCACTCCTTACTCCCCATCTCAGAAAGACGGGAAAGCGCACGCGCGAACGCAAATCGCTCCTCATCACCACTGAAAATAGACGTGTTCTTCAGCGCCTGCACGGACATGCCGAGGTCGTCCATTAGGTTGCGCATTGCGTCGGAAAGATCCGAGTGGTCGCCGTCGCCTTTGAGTGTTTTCTTTACGTCGGATTCGGAGATGAAGAGGTTTGTTAGGGGGACTTCGGTCGTGAGGACTAGTTTGGCCTGTTGATATGGGATGTTGTTAGCTGGCTGCATAATAGAACAGTGAACAAGACCGTTGCTCATAACTCACCCTGCTCTCATATACCGCATCGATAAAGGTAATAAAGCGTCTCGCCAGATCACGTTGGGTATGGTTCATGCTCGGCACGTCCGTGACAATGAACGCATCATAATGCCGGACGAGCTCGAGGTAGTCGGCTGCACCCGTGGCCGAGCCGATGAGCTCCTGGAAGGTGAACTGCGCAGCCTTGCCGCTAGCACGGGGAACCTGGATTTTGCGGCCCCAGACAACCTGCGATTCTGTGTGCGGGGGATCATTGATAGGATCTCCCAGGAAATCGAACCACTTTTGCGCGTGCTGCTGTGCGTCTTCGCCCAGAGGGTGGTGGTAGACGGCAGCCGGGGGCCGGGGAATTTTACGGTAATCTGTTGGGGAGTTGAGGTTGATGACGCTCAGATCAGTCTTGAGGAGGTTGATGCATGGAATGAAGGATTCGCGCTGGATGCCGTTTTTGTACAGGTCATCTGGATGACGGTTGGATGTGGTGACAAGGACGACGCCGTGCGACATGAGAATCTCGAGAAGCCTGGGTGATGAATTGTCAGCTGGGTTTTTAATGGGCCCCGTCCGGAGAATGAAAGCATACCGTCGCAGAATCATCGCATCGGCTACATCCGTACACTGGAACTCGTCAAAGCAAAGCACGCCTGCGAGCTCGGCAATATCGGCCGCAACCATCGGAAGCGCATCGAAGTCATTTCCATACTTCATCTTCACTACGTGCATGCGCTTATGTACGTCCTGCATGAAGTTATGGAAGTGAATGCGCGTCTTGTTCTTGATATTCGGCGGCAGCGTATCGAAGAATAGATCCATCAACATCGTCTTACCGCACCCAACATCACCATACATGTACAGCCCCTTCGGGAGGTTATCGGGAATAGCAGACTTTTCCTTCTTCTTCGCGCCACCGCCGAACAGAGACCCGAAAAAGGACGACTTTTGCTGGGGATCCAGAGACTCGGGCTTGGGGTGAACAACTTCGGGCGGGTTGTAATCTTTCAGCGCTTCAAAGAGGTTCTGTAGATTTTGGATAATCCCTATGGGAATCGGCGCAGGTCAGCTTGGAACCGTGCTCCGCCAGAGTTGGTCA